TGCCTCCAAAAACGACATGAACGAAGAATACATCTTTATATATATATATCTATCTATATATGCCACCCAATATGCCTCCAAAAACGACATGAACGCATACATCCATATTTTCTAACATGTGAAGCAAGAAACAAGACAGAGAGGGTTAATTAGGACATGCAGATGCAGAGAGAGAGAGGCAGGCAAAAAGGGAGTTTTTGTAAGCTTGTGAATGGGAGAGCTTTGGAGATTGGCTGGACGGCAGTAAGGGTCGGCGATTATTGGCTTTGGGTTTGGGTCCCAATCATACAGGCCTCGCAACCGCCAAACTGGTCCAAGCCACCGGATGCAATTTGTGGCTCTCCCTGCATGCGCTGCGCTGCGCTGCCGCCCGGCCCTAGCTACTTCCCTTCCATGTATACATATATGTTTTGTATTCAAGGCATTATATACGCCATTCATTCATAAACCTAGCTAAAATTACTACTAGCTAGTTAATTAACAGATATTTTTTTTTAGCAGTTGACGATGATAGTCGATCGGACGAGGTCTCCCCAACCAGCTATCTATCTCATCAATCACGAATCAGATCATGATCAGTTGATTTTATTTATATATGTATATATATTTCACAACAATGCCTTAATTTGCCATATATATCCATCCTCATGATCATGATTCACGCTCACGCAAGGACTGAAAAAAATTATATAATATACTTAGAGAGAATTACTAGTTAAATGTGAGCTAGTAGTCTATATAAGTAATTGTCAGTGCTCGCACTCACGGATTTGATTTATTAAGGTTTAATCCCAATCTTCACATTTCCAAAAAATATATATATATACAGTAAGTTTGACTGAATATTTATAAAAATTAATGTTTATCAATTTAATTTTTAAAAAATTAAGAGACATTTTAAATAAAGTACAATTAAAAAAAAAGATAGTTTTATCTTTATTTTAAAAATAAGTTATTTTAATCTTAATTTTGTAATGAAAATTTATTAAAAAAATATTTTTTTTAAAAAAATTAGAAATCTATTTAATTTATCTCAAAATAACTATTATTTTTTTATTTTAAGTTTATTTTAAATTAATTGTTATTTTAGTTTTAAAATTTTTAATTTGAAGAAAAAAAAATTAAAAACAGTTAATTTATAATAAAGAGAGAGTAATTGGTAAATATTTTTTCACATGTATGTATATAATTATACATGATAGGGTTTAATTAATATATATGTATAGTCAAGGTCCACGCGTCTCCGTCTATCATGCAATCAATCTCTGTTATCTGGATATTTTGATTGCTAATTTACAAGATTTAAAACAATAAACAAAAAATAAAAAAATGAGTGTTTGTGTATGTGAGTAGTGCCCCCAGACAAAAGCCTAGCTACAACTTTCCAGTGACTACCTAACTATTATTGTTGTTTGATGGCCAATCGATTCGCTAACCAAATCTTATTACCAAATGCATGGATTGTAGTTGGAATTAGAATTACTTTACTTGTTTCTTTAATTAATTAATTATTTAGGTTTTCAACTTCCAGGATTATCTTTTCTTGCTATCAATTACTATTACATATATAATATGTACACATACTACTGCAACTGATGATTCACATATCGCTTTCTTATAAAATTTAACTTGCTGTCTTTGTCTTTGAAAATTTATTCTCCATCTCTTGGCTAGCTAACTGTATTGTATTATTATTATACTAGATGAGTGTAAGATTGTGCTCGTTTTTGCTTATCAGTTTTTGAAAAAAAATCTCTATGTTGAAACTTGAAAGTGCTAGCCTCTAGCT